ACATGTACTGTTTGAGGTTGCTGTGAGAGGAAGTGAAAATATTAAAAATTAGGCATTTCGGATTTAGAGCATAAGAGAACAAGGTAGATAATTTAAATACATTATTTGTTAATTATGGAGAGCCTTTCTTTGTTGGTAGGATAGAGGAACCTTAAAAACCTGAGTTGGCACATCCCTGATCATAGAGCAGCCCTGGTCCAGTCAGTTGTGACTAGTCATATGTGCTAGCATCGAAGGTGAGTTTGATGCGTTCAGACATCTGGGTCCTCTCCGGTGACCAATTGGGATAAAGAAAGATCTCTACTAGGATGAAAATAAAACAAAACAAGTTGATTGTAGATGCATAAAGTTATCATGTGTTAATTTCTAGTCAATTAAATCAGTCATTGTGTGTTTGGAATTCAAAGTAAGAATCCATATATAAATATATAAATATATACATACATATATATATATATATATATATATATATATATATATAATAAAATAAGGATAGTTGTTTCTTATATTGAAACGTGAGTGTTAATCAATAATTATATTACTTGTAGGTATGTATAAATTGATGCATTTTATGAGCTGTTATGGGTTAGTTGGAGTTGTTTGGTTCTTGGTATTGATTAACTTAGATTCAATTGTGGAGATGTTATTTTTATAATTTGTGAGTGGTGAGTAATGTATATTGTTGAGATTGTGTATATGTTAATTGTGGCAGAAAGTATATGAATACAAAGTGATGAAAGTATGATCCAAGTTGTAAATCAAGTTCCATCTGTGTAGGATCTCTTGGTGAGATCCTTAGTGCATAATGATTGCATGGCAGTTCAGTCTTGGGGGTTTTCCTGACGCTCCAATGGTCTTTCATTCTCAAGTAGAGAGGATTGATCCATGTGGTGAGGAGTAGCAGGAGGTCCTAGTCTTGGAGGCTTCCAGTATGCTCTAGGGCGCGGAACGGATTAACCTCGTGAGTGTGGTAGGGTGGAACCCATTGGCAACGGCTTTGCAAAGCAGTAGAGGCCACCACGAGTGCATAACCCGCCATAGCTCGGCAATCATTCTGGTCCGGACGAGTCGGTCTATAAAACAATGAGTCTTGTGATGTCAATGTATCATGTTTGAGTGGCTTTTACATGTCGTGTGTGATTAAATAACATTATTTTTATATCTAGCTCACCCTTGCTTGTTTGTATTGCTTGTGTATGTTTCTTCTTGCGATGATCATCCTTTTGGGATGGGAGCAGATGGCGAGGAGGTTCCTTTGGAGACAGCTTTGGAAGTTGAAGACAATGCTGCTGCGTAGTCTCCTAGGATGTTATTAGTTTGATTTTGTACTCTGAAATACTACTTCCCTTTCAGCTTACATTTTAGATCTTTTTGGAGTTTAAGCTTATATTCTGAAGTTACTTTAAGGATGACTGTAATCCTATTTAGTCTCAACTGCTTTCCTATATTATGCATGTGGACGTCTTTATTATATATGCTGTCTATATAATTGGGATGTCATATTTTTAATTGTTCTAAATTTTATTTAGATCAAATGAAAAAATAAGAAAGTAAATTTTATTTGTATTTATTTTTAATTGAATGGTATTGCAATTAATAATACACGTTGTAATACATTTTTAATTGTATTAAATTTTAATTAGGTTTAGGTCTCCTTTAAAGAGAATATAAGAGTGTCAGTAGGTGGTGTAGTAGAAAAAACAATAATTTACAATTTTACAATTTTGTTAAACAATTCTATCAATCTTACGATTAGTTGTGGAATTTAACTTATAAATATCATGTGAAATCACGATATCTGATTTTACAGTTTAGATAATCTTAACTAAAATATCTTCATTTTTCCCATTAACTTCTATAACTAAATACAATGTTAAATGATTTTTAATTTTTAATTTTTGTTTTGTCATTTGATATATATTTTAATAGAATTATTCTTTATGTTTATAAGGATATAAAAATAAGGATATATATTTTAATAGAATTATTCTTTATGTTTATAAGAATATAACCTAATAGTAAATATGATATAAAAATATTAATTAATATATAATAAAATTATAACATATTAAACTATTTAATAAAATGTATAATTTTATATGTTACATAATTTAATAAGATAAAATATTTTATTGATATTTGTATTCAAGTTATAATTTATATATAACAATAACTACATATATAATGGTTTTTAAATACAAAATTAATTTTTAAAATAATGTAATAATATATCTTTATATTAATTATACTAAAAATATGTGTTTTAATTTGAAATTAGATAGATAAGTATTTCACTTAAAAGGATTGTGAAGTACTGAAATAAGTTAGTGTTAGAAAACCCATAGATTTAAAAAAAAANTCTTGGGGGTTTTCCTGACGCTCCAATGGTCTTTCATTCTCAAGTAGAGAGGATTGATCCATGTGGTGAGGAGTAGCAGGAGGTCCTAGTCTTGGAGGCTTCCAGTATGCTCTAGGGCGCGGAACGGATTAACCTCGTGAGTGTGGTAGGGTGGAACCCATTGGCAACGGCTTTGCAAAGCAGTAGAGGCCACCACGAGTGCATAACCCGCCATAGCTCGGCAATCATTCTGGTCCGGACGAGTCGGTCTATAAAACAATGAGTCTTGTGATGTCAATGTATCATGTTTGAGTGGCTTTTACATGTCGTGTGTGATTAAATAACATTATTTTTATATCTAGCTCACCCTTGCTTGTTTGTATTGCTTGTGTATGTTTCTTCTTGCGATGATCATCCTTTTGGGATGGGAGCAGATGGCGAGGAGGTTCCTTTGGAGACAGCTTTGGAAGTTGAAGACAATGCTGCTGCGTAGTCTCCTAGGATGTTATTAGTTTGATTTTGTACTCTGAAATACTACTTCCCTTTCAGCTTACATTTTAGATCTTTTTGGAGTTTAAGCTTATATTCTGAAGTTACTTTAAGGATGACTGTAATCCTATTTAGTCTCAACTGCTTTCCTATATTATGCATGTGGACGTCTTTATTATATATGCTGTCTATATAATTGGGATGTCATATTTTTAATTGTTCTAAATTTTATTTAGATCAAATGAAAAAATAAGAAAGTAAATTTTATTTGTATTTATTTTTAATTGAATGGTATTGCAATTAATAATACACGTTGTAATACATTTTTAATTGTATTAAATTTTAATTAGGTTTAGGTCTCCTTTAAAGAGAATATAAGAGTGTCAGTAGGTGGTGTAGTAGAAAAAACAATAATTTACAATTTTACAATTTTGTTAAACAATTCTATCAATCTTACGATTAGTTGTGGAATTTAACTTATAAATATCATGTGAAATCACGATATCTGATTTTACAGTTTAGATAATCTTAACTAAAATATCTTCATTTTTCCCATTAACTTCTATAACTAAATACAATGTTAAATGATTTTTAATTTTTAATTTTTGTTTTGTCATTTGATATATATTTTAATAGAATTATTCTTTATGTTTATAAGGATATAAAAATAAGGATATATATTTTAATAGAATTATTCTTTATGTTTATAAGAATATAACCTAATAGTAAATATGATATAAAAATATTAATTAATATATAATAAAATTATAACATATTAAACTATTTAATAAAATGTATAATTTTATATGTTACATAATTTAATAAGATAAAATATTTTATTGATATTTGTATTCAAGTTATAATTTATATATAACAATAACTACATATATAATGGTTTTTAAATACAAAATTAATTTTTAAAATAATGTAATAATATATCTTTATATTAATTATACTAAAAATATGTGTTTTAATTTGAAATTAGATAGATAAGTATTTCACTTAAAAGGATTGTGAAGTACTGAAATAAGTTAGTGTTAGAAAACCCATAGATTTAAAAAAAAAACTTCCAATTGAATAGACCAAAACATATATGACCTACTTTTAGACGAGATCCGAATCAACTCATAAGTCATTAAAGTAAATCACACCTCTGTTAATTGCTAACTTTTTTAAAGACATTAAAATAATCATTTCTCCTAATAACTATGATATTTTAACAATTTTTTAAGAAAAGATTATGTGTCGTAAATTTATTGATTCATATATTTAAAACAAATTAATCACCAATTATTACATCGATTATAAAAAAGTTGTAAAAAATAATTTCTAACTGTCAAAAATAATTGTTAGAAAGGAATTTTCCTTCTCCTGATATGTACGTTTCAACGGTTTATAGTCATTTCTGAAACATTTATTCGTTGCTTTGATTTGGAAACAACAACTGAAAATGATTCTATTGCCCATCTCAGTGTCGTTCTAGTTTCACTTTCAACGGTTTTATTGTCTTTTCCCATTGTTTGTCATACAAGCTTTGCCCTTTGATTTTTGAATGCACTCTATTTGCTCTTGTTCTTAGCGTGAACACTGTGCATGATTGAGATTGATGGAAAGGGTTGATCCGTAGTATTATAGATTGTTTCTTTTATTTTTTTATATTCATTTTTGTTGTTTTACTTGTTTAATGTATTGTTTATTATGTTATGTTATGATTTAATATGTTCTTCTTCAGTTTTTAGGGGGTTCATTTGATGAGCAAAGACTAAGAAAATGGTTTCCGATTGAATAAAAGGTAACATTTTTGTTTATTAAATTTAGTTCATGCTAATATGTTCTTTTTTAGCTTTTAGGGGAATTTTCATTCGAATTTAATAATGAATAAAATCTCTAATTTTAAATTTATTTCCTGCATTAAAATATTAAGTATACACTTTTTTAATTGGTCCCGGTATATATATAATGTTGAAAACATTAAATTTATATTTTTTAATTTAACATAGAAATCCTGGATTAAACTTTTAGAAGCAAAAACGCAATTTAATGATCATAAAGAAGATTCTCAATTCTCAACTTTTCATTGGTAAGATACTAGGAAAAAGAAATATAAAAGTAAGATTTATTTTATTGTTATAGGAAAGTAGAATCCCCATTATTTATTGGAGCCCCTTTAGACAGAAGCATGGAGAGTTATTTGTAATAATGTGTTGATGTTTAAAGCTGAAGTTTGGTGTCATAAGTAGCTCCAGGCTTCCAATTAGAAGGGATAGGGATGTTTGGTGTCATCCAATTAACGCCAACTTGAAATCTCAGCAGGATTGCACCTCTGGGTGGATTCGCAAAGTCAAACACTGCCCCATACACTCTTCGAAGGGGTTCCCATCGTTGTTGCCCTTTCTGCAAAACATTTCAACAACGTTAATTAAACCTTATTCATATTCATAAATTCTTACGTCCAAATTGTCTCCATGCATACCTGCCACATTTCAACAGCATTGACGTCGTATTTTCCATTTACATTCAGAATCAGAACGGCCAAGTAACCAGGGTTGCTGCTACTTTCCTTTATGTGAAACAAGACGTTGCCCATGAACGTACATGGAACTCTTCTGTATGCAATGTCCACTGTACCGTATTTCTTTAGCTCTGCAGATGCATTTTGATTGCGTCCCAATCTTGAGAACGCCCGTGGGCTCATTACGAAGTCCGTTCTGTCTCCGTAACCCTGGTCTGTTGCCACCAGGAATGCTCCATTCACATCGCACAGTTCTGGTATTTTGCACTTTACCTGCACCACCACCGTCATCGTTCATATTTTATCATCAGTGTTTAATTTATTATTAATACTTAATCACTGAATTAGGAAATTTCATATGTGTGATAACTACCTGATAACACGTGCCACAACCAGCTCCATTCCTCCATAGCCCAGAGACCCCTGCCACTCTTCCATCGTACCGATTCATCTTCCTTCCATACTCCCCGAATCCACATGCTCCGGCTACAATCATTATACATACATAATAAAATTTTCTTATGTTATCACGTTTTTATTATTCTAAAACACACTTTAAACGAGAAAGAAAAAGAGGATATTTAGTATCAAACATGGGCATGCATGCCACTAGTTGAGTCCTAGAGGCTGCAAAAGCAAAGAACGTAAGCACACATACTTGGAGTACCGTAGCCGTCGGGGCTGCCATAATAGGTTGCTCTTGAGTTGGTGAAATATTCCTTGCAGTTGCAGAGTGCAGGGAAGAGGAATATGACACAAACAAGGCCAAGTTGGTGCCTAAAACCGAGTTCCATCACAAATTCAACTCTCAGACACAAATAAAATATGATTGATTACAAGATTGTGACCAATTCGATAAAGCAAAGCATAAGATTTGAGAAGGGTTTATGAGATTGGAAGCGAAGATACATCAGATATTTATAGCACAGCCTTAGAGATCTTACTCCATGCACATACCGCGGGTGGTGCAGTTCTATTCCTTTGTTTAGTAGGTCTTTCTTTTTTAAACTAGTTTGAATAATTCGGTTCTGTGTACTACTGTTTACTGATTTTGAACTACGGTTTAAACCATATATATTGGGTTTTTTTCATGGGAAAATAATACTTTGACATTCTTAAAAAAAGCACATTCAATTACCAACCCAGTTTAATAATACAATACCGTGTATAATAGAATTTTAAGTTTAAAAATACAATAAATATAATTAAAATATTATTACTTTAGGCAGTAAAGTAGGTTTTTTTTTTTCCGTGGGTGTGAAAGTCACCACCCTATTTTAAGTTTGAATCGAATTTGATCCAAAATTACTTTTACGCTGTATTTAGATCATTTCAAGCCATTCTAGTACACCATTATCACACGCAAGGTCAACTACAATTTATTAAAGCAGGAGTAAATGTTATCGTGTAGGATTATGTTTATACCTAGCTGTGTTATCATAGTTATAATTAATATTAATCACTCGCGAAACAAAGTTAGTAAGTAACTATTTGAATAATGAGATTTTGTTAACTTGATATCCTTTTTGTTAATATTATTAGACAACCTACCTTTTCTACAATCTACGATACTTCCAGTTGCATGACCTTTTCTGAGATCAAGCTAATTCATAAATCTGGGTGCGTGCTGGATACTAGATCACATGTAGAGCATATAAAATGATCAAAATTAGTTGTTTAATCTCTTTATCCTTTAATACTTCATTCATTGTTGATATAAAACCTATCTAATACAAACCACTCCAATTGAAAACGTGTAAAGTCACACTAATTAATCAGTCTAAGATTTATAATCCACCAACAACCAGCATAAAATGAATTGTTTTACAGATTTCCGATTGATCAATTCGGCTGGCTAGAACGAGTCAATTTTGATAATACTGTTGTAAGTCTGATCTCATTAATTATTAAATAATTAAATAACAATTTCTCGGCATAACATACAGGATGTTGAAGGTGTGGCCTCCAATTTCTTTTCCACATACCCTCTGGTTTTGACCCAAAACCAAACCTCTGACTTCCTTATAGTTTAAAAGCATGTATTTAATGAAATCAATAGCAAAAATACTACATGGATCAATACAAAAAATTTCCAATCATCAAGATTTAGATGGTTCAAAACCAGTTAACGGGTATTAAACTTATATAAAATGGCTTACAGAAAAGGAAAAAGAATTAGGAATATACCAGGGACGGTACTAGCAACAAAGAGTCAAGAGCTGGGCTACACAATAAAGAGGACTGCAGTTCTCTCATTTTCCTATATTACACTAACATCTGACATCAGTTCTGGCTGAGAATTTGTGTCGTGGTATTGGCATGGAACTCGGTTTTAAGCACCAAGTCGGTGTGGTGTGTGCGATATTGCTTCTCCCTGCACTGTGTAGCTGCTACGAATATGCAACGAACTCCAGAGCAAGCTATTACAGTAGCCCTGGTGGCTATGGGAATCCCAGTAAGTTTCTTCCTCTTGGAATTTGTTTTGTACCAAACATACATTCGTACACTATAGTGTCATATATAGCACCTCGTAGATACAACGAATATGAGGTGGCAACGGGTATAATATTTCAGGGGGAGCTTGTGGATACGGAGAATATGGAATGACGATGAACAATGGCAATGTTGTAGCCGTATCAGGAGGACTATGGCGGAATGGAGCTGGTTGTGGTGCATGCTACAAGGTAGAAGATAAAAGAAAAATTCAAATGTACCGATACATAGTTGTTAATGTTTAAAATGTATATAAATGATGAAACAGGTATGGTGCAAAAGGGCAGAATACTGCAACGCGAAAGGAGTGTACGTGGTGGCAACAGACTATGGCGAGGGAGACAGAACAGAGTTCATAATGAGCAAACGCGGGTTCTCAGAATTGGGAAAGAACGCAGCTGCTTCTGCGAAACTGTTGAAGGAAGGGGTAGTGAATATTTCATTCAAAAGGGTTCCCTGCACATTCCCTTCTAACATCAAGCTCCACGTCCACGAAAGCAGCAAAAACCCCTCCTACTTTGCTCTTGTGCTTCTCAACGTAAATGGAATGAGTGACATCACTGCTGTAGAGATATGGCACAGAGAGCAGAAACGATGGGAGCCACTCCGCAGGGCCTATGGGGCTGTCTTTGACTTTGCTAACCCACCCACCGGTCAAATCCGTCTCAGGTTTCAACTTGGCTATAAATATTGGCTCCTTCCCAAGATCCCTATTCCTGCTAACTGGAAGTCTGGTGCTACTTATGACTCCCAACTTGAGCCTTATTAATTAGACACAAAATCAAAATACTCACTTTCTTCTAAATAACCCCTTCACCATTACTTTTTTCTTTATTTTGTTTGTTAGCACTGTTATTCAATGTTCTTCTTCTTGTACTGCTGTCAAAGTCAACACAATAAAATGGGGTTCCCTTACCAAACCAATAAATTTCCATTCAACATATACTGCATACTGCATATGGAATGGATTGATCTATAAATTTCTTTTATTATTCATAACTTTAATTTCATTTATTATTCAGTTGGTAATCTGCTTCTAAGTTAATCCATAACTGTTCTTTCAATCCAATGTTTGTCTGTTGCTATTAATCCATAATTGTTCTACCATAACCACTACAGGAAAACAAAGTACAGTTTAGTTAGTAACCGATATTTATCATTCACAAATGCTATTAGCTGCTCTCTGTGTCTGTGTTGGAAACGGAAAATGTCTGTTACAGAGTTGGAGGGGCTTAAACTTACATGTTGTGTGGTTTTCTATGTTTGCGATTAACATATATATACATATATACTAACTTCGGCTGGAACATCCTATTTATTTCTTTAATATGACTTTAATTGTTTATAAAAATAAAAATAAAAGTAAAGATAAAAAATACGTCTTAACATTCGAACAAATTTATTGTATGGAACTTTAGCATGATATGTGTGAGCTTTCCAATTGGTCGTTGGAGCTTTCTATTGAGCTCTTTGGAGAACTCTTCAGCGAACCCTCCTCTACTACTCAGTTGTCTGGTTAGCCTATCCATAATATTCAGCTGCCTGACTTGAGTTGCCCTTGCTACTCGACTGTTTCTCCGAACTCTCCACACTACTCTGCTATTTTCCCAAGTTCTTCTTATCATTTGGGTTTTTGTACAAATTTGAAGAAGAAATTAAGAATGTAGGCACAATATTTTCAAATTAGGAGAATAAGTAAGTCGTGGGATTCAGACGATTTGAAACGAAACGAATAATTTATAACTAAGAGGTTATGTCCCTGCATGATTCACCTTATAGTATTGACTAAAGATCTCTAAACACGATTTTATAAACACGATTTTAGAACATAATAATCGATTATATGTTATTACATATTTTTTTTAATATAAATTAATAAAAATATTGAAATTATAAAGATCAATGACTTTTTTTATTGAAATTGTGCATACTTACACAGTTTTATTTTATTTTTTATTTTTTTATTAATTAAAATGATTTATAATTTATAAATAATTTTTTAAATGTATTTAAAATAATATAAATTATATCTAATTAATAATTAATTTTTTAATATTATTAAATAAATAAATTTTATTGTTTTAATTATTTTTGTAAATAAATTAATTTTTTTATAAAATTATTTCAAATAAATAATTTATAACCATAATTATTGTAATTATGTAATTAAAAATACAAAAAGTTATATTTCATTATAGTTTATTTTTTTTGAATTTTTATTATCACATTATATTTTTTACGAATTATAATTAATTAATAACAATTTTTTCATTATAAATTAATTAAATTAATAAAAATATAAAATAATTGAAATTGTTTGGGTGGACGACGTGCACTCCACACACAACATTTTTAATTTTATTATTATTTAAAATAATTTATAATTTTTAAATATTGTATTTAAATGTATATAAAATATTTAAAATTATATATAATTAATAATTAAAGTTTTCTAATTATTTTTGTAATTAAATTAAATTTTTTATAAAAATGATTTCAATTAAATAGTTTCTAATGTATAGTTACATAAATAAAGAGACATAAATTTATTTGATTTCATTATAAATTATTTTTTTATTATAATTAATTTAAGTATAATTTCTAACTTAAGTATTATTTTTTTACATAATTTCTAACTTATATAAAATAAATAAATGGATTCTGAGTTTAATGTAATATTAAATTTATTCTTCATGTTGAATGAAAATTTGTGACATCTCTAAAATATACGTCATGCATATATAATAAAGACGTCATTGGATTATAATAATATAAAGCAGTTGGATGCATAAGACAGGGTATAAGGAGATACAGTCATCCTTAATAAGCTGTGAATTCAAACATGAGGTACTAAAGTCTTCCAAAATGGCGTAGGTTCAACAGATACAGTTTCAAAACTCATAATTCAAAGTATAATTTCCTAAAGATACTAGGATTCAGCATTCTCTTCCTCCAAGGCTTGCTCCAAGGGTTCCTCTTCGGCATCTGCTCCATCCAAGTGGATGATCATCGCAAGAAGAAACATACGCAAACAACACAAACATGCAAGGGTGAACTAATTCTAAAGATGTGCATGCAAGAATTAAAGTGAATTAAGCAAGGTAAACACACATCCTAACATGTTACATTCTAGACTTGACTCGTCCGGACTTTAGAATGATAGTCGAGCTATGGCGGGTCTTGCACTCGTGGTGGCTTATGAAACTTGAGATATCCCACCCTACCACACTCACAAGGTTAGCCTGTTCCGGGCCTTGAGGCATACTGAAAGCCCCAAAGACTAAGACCTCCTGCTACTCCTCACCACATGGTTCAGTCCTCTCTACATGAGAAGAAAGGCCATTGGAGTTTCAGGATGACCCCCAAGACTGAGCTCTTACTTTCATCCTAAACACCAAGAATCTCACCAAGAGATCCTGCACCGATGGAACTTGGATTACAACTTTGATCATCTTACCACCACTTATAACCATACACTTTTGATACCAACCATATACTTGTTTGAACATCACATTACAGTACTATCGATGCAAGGAGATACTTCACTAATCAACCACATAACACATCAGAAGTTTCAATTAAAGAACTAAACTCAACACTTGTCGCACAATGCACCACTCTCGCATGGCGAGACTGACAGAATTCGCATAGCGCACCCACCCAGGTCGCTATGCGAGAGTCCAGACAGATACCAACCCTCCCCACTCGCCCTTTGAATTAAATGGGCAGTGGTCCCAGACCACTACCAGTCGCATAACGACAAGACTCGTTAGGCGAGTCCACAAACAGAGAGTAACACCCTCTGGTAATTCACACAGCGCACCAGCTCGCACAGTGAATTACCCAGACAGTGAGCACCCTCTACAAGGTCTCGCTATGCGAGACAACTCGCATAGCAACTCTGCATCATCTGCAGAACGCGAATTCTGCAGAATCACACACTCACACTAGCCCTTACCATTTCTAGACCTCTTGGCCAACTTCTAAGGCCTCCAATTCATATTATATACTTAGTTAGACATGCCTAGATGATTAAAAACATTGCTACTACCCTTCTAAAGTGACTTAGACTCAATTTCAACTATAGAACACCAAATTCAATAACTTAAGCACCCAAATCAAATTCTAACCTTTGCAACTCGTTTTAGTCTAGTTATATAACCCTAACAAGTCACAATTGACTTGTCTAAGATGCCCCAACAGCCCCATCGTGCTCAGAACCCCCACTTCTCAAAATCACTACCTCACTTCCTCTCAAGTGACCTAAACCACTACTAATTCATTATGCTTTCTTTCAAAACAAGGTGGTGACTTACTTTACACCCCGGACCACTCCCAACTTGATCAATTACACTAAGTGAAACCCATCCACTCAATTCACAGCATCACAACACAGTTCATAGTCCTCACATATCAATGCAGATAATAAAGCATACTCAAGACAAAACACACAACTACAAACAGCATACCAGTTCAACATTCACATGCATACATATTTACCAAAACAGATTTACACAAACAATTAGCTCCCCTTACCTGGAAGTCAAACAATATATTCAACTAGAGTGCCCTAACCGTGCCCCTCACAGTGAGAATCCAACAGTGCCCTACAACCACCTAAATGGTGATGAAAACAACTCTTAGAGCTAGAACAGGCAGGAAATCGAAAGGAAATATTATCCAGCTGCATGCAGCCAGTAAAGTTGCATGCCCTGGGTTCAAGAAAATGGAGAAACCGACTTACCCGTCCAAATGGAAATATAATCGGATAGAAGGGGAGCTCTCAACTCCGTGAGCGAAAGAACACCACCTAGTTGAAAATGTAATGGTTTGAATGTGAGTAAGAGTAGAGAAGGCAGAGAAGGAAGAAGAAAGCTGAGTTTAGAGAGAGAAAGTGGAATTGGATGATGAGCTCAGAGTTGGAAAAGATGAGATCTTCTCTAAGGTCATGTCACTAGTAAAAAAACTAGATTTGAAATCGCACAATAGGCTTCGGTTAAGGCAGAACCGAAATCTATAAAAAGACGGTAGCATTTTCGTAGTTTAAATTAACTTTTGTAACCCGATTTAAGGAGAATCGAATATGACCTTGATTCAAACCCCACCCGATGCCTAACACCCGATAATGCCTCGGTCCACTAGGACTCGACGCAATATACCTATCTTTCCATTACCCCTCGCGCATTTCACCCTCACATAACCCTCATCCAACAGCGCCCCCACCCTTCTCCTCCTCCCTAAACCCTAATGACTCCCACCCTTAGTCATCGCGTCAAGTCCACGGTAATGGAGTCTCCTCCACCTCCGCTTCCTCCGCCTCCTCCAGATCCCTCAAAACTCCCTCATCATTCGCCCACAACTACCGAATCACCATCGCCCTAATTCCATCCGCCTTATTCCTCGTCATCCTCGGTGGCACCCCGGTCGTCGCCATCCTCGACGCCCTCAGCCTCAAGCCCGCCGCCTTCTTTGCCGTGTGGTTCTCCCTTATATTCACCCAGGTCGCCTTCTTCCTCTCTGCCTCGTCCTCCCTCTTCGCTGCCTTCAACTCCTCCGTCGTCGTGGCTGTCATCGCCTCTTTCACCTTTCTCCTTGGCGTATGGTCCTCTCTCTATTTCAAGTGGCTCCTGCTCGAAAACCCTTCCATTGTCGTTGCCCTCGAGCGCCTGCTCTTCGCTTGCCTCCCCGTTTCCGCCACGGCGGAGGGTTTCGTTTGGGGATTTTCGGCCAATTTTCTGCAAGACATTGCTCTGTGCCCATCCCCAATTTTCTGGCCCCTCCATGCTGCCCCAG